GTCCATATTTATTTTATAACCTGCTGTAATGCCATTATGGTATCATGGCCACCTTCTTTATACAGTTCAGCTGTGAAATTATCTATTCCGGGTGATTTGTTTTTGGCTAGTTTTTTAACTGCATCTTTAACTTCAAGAATCGTTGATGGTTCCTCTTCCCTCTCATCTATTCGCCTTACCTCATCTCTTTCGTCTTCCAGGTTTTCTTCTTCCTTTATATTAAGTGGCTGGTTAAAGTATTCCACCCATCTATTCAATATATCTTTCCTTGTCGTTAATAGGTCGCCATTGTGACTTCTGCATAGTGACTTGTGGTTGCCTTGAATTCTTTTCTGTCGATGTTAACTTTCCTATAGAATGCTCTGAATTCTTTCTGTCTGTTAAGGTTTTCTATATATTTAAGTTCCTCATTTAGGTGGTTTAGTTTTTTTCTTTTGTTTATCCTCTTTTCTTCTCTTCTCTTTGTCTGTTAATTCTCTCCAGTTGTTCTAGTTCGTCGGGTAAGCATCTTTCTGTATGCTTCATTTTTTTTCTTTTATTGCATTCTTGCATTCATCGTCAAACCAATGATTTATACGGGCACACATTTCTGTTCGTATTTCCTCTTTCGCTGCTGCTTCAATGTCTTCTTTATTCTGGTCCAGTAGGTGTCTATATATGTCTGGCATTCTTCATTGACATTTTGGTACCTTAGCCTGTTGGTGATGTTTTCCGAGTACCCTTCGGCAATGTCGCATCTCTCAGTTTTTGCACATTCCATTTTTTGTATCCATTACTAGTATTTGAAATTTTAGCCCTTAATATTGAGATCACTAGGCAATGATGTGATCAATCTGACTCGTTGTTCTTCTATCAGGAGAGGTCCAGGTTACCTTGTGTATGTTCTTGTGTTCAAAATAGGTGCTAGCAACTGTCATATTGAGTGCTGCTGCTAAGTTTATCAGTTGTAATCCATTATCGCTACTGATGTTGTGTAGGCTATGCTTTCCTATCGTGGGCATGAAAACTCGCTCTCCTATTCTTGCATTCATGTCACCTAATAAAATCTTAATGACATTTCCTGGACATATCCTATAGGCTTGCTCTAGGTATTCAAAGAACTGTTCTTTTATTTCCTCCGATTTGTCATCAGTTGGGGCGCTTACAAATATATGCACCGTTAACAATAGATGGAAGTAAAGAATAGGTTTAACTCAGAAACCATAAAATTATATATTCAGTTTCTTTAAGAAAAAAAAATAGAACTAAGTCAGTTTTTATATAAAATATGCAATACGACAAACAGAAGTCCAATAAATCCCCTCTTGAATGGTCTACCAATGAAAGAAGGAATCTCCAGATCGTTGCGTTAGTTGTGTAGCCATTTAATCCCGAATCCACACGATCAAGAGTGACATGACGATCAAGAGTATCTATATAAGCGACATAATTGTATCTAGCAATGAAGTTGGTCTAAAAATGAACTTGACAAAAACACAAACCATGTACAACGAGCTAGTGATGCCCAAGATGTAACAGTAAACAACACTGCATTTGAGAAGGCAGACGAGTATGTATACATAGGACGATTAATACATAAATCTGATTTCCAGAAATCAACAGAAGAATGAAAATGGCTTGGGCATTCTTTGGTAGAAATGCAGTTATATTCAAATCGAAGATCTGCGAAACACACTAAAGAAAGATAATAGCGAAATTCAAAGTCACTCAAAGGTCAATGGAGCTGTTCCGTGGTTGTGTGGATGCGTGTATGATAAACTTATTTACCACAACGGAAACAAAAATAATAATTAAATTGAATAAAACGTAGAAAAGCTGTTAATAATATTTATTTTGTAAAATGTAATTAATTTTCGAAGGGATGGTATTTTTGTATATGCATCGCGGGCCGATGCAAATGGTGTCTTTAAGATTACTGGAAACTCAAACTAAAACTCAGAACACGCGTTCTTTGATTTTAAAAGCCAGACGATAAACTTTTATTATAGAGCTGGTCGCTAATTATATTTCGTTTCCTATAAAAAATGCAAAAAAATAACAAATATATTGAGGAACACATTTCAATTTTTATTTCATTTCTATTATGTGTATAACCAATTGCGAAAATGTAAATTTTAATATGAAATTGTTTTATTTAATTTTTGAATACAAAAGTTTAATCATTCGTAATTAGCTTGTCGCTACAACACTCCCCTTCGAGAAATATGGATAATACGTACATACTTACAATGGAAATTGAATAGGTATATCAGAAAAATACAATGTTTACACGAGAAAAAAAATTACGCCGAAAAAAAAGAGGTACACTGAAAAAATATTTTAACTGACACTTGCTTTAAAAGCCAGACGATAAACTTTGTGCTTGACACTGTGATTTTCTCTGGTTCTTGATTTATGTTGACTTCATACGCAGGTTTCAATCTATCGATGGAAATTGTTACTTTTTTTCGTTTACATGGACGACAAATGTTTTGTCTCCTCGTTTAACTACTGAAAAAGGTCCGTGATATGGGTAATCTAAACAGTTTTTGATTGTGTCGTGGCGGACAAACACGTGAGTGGTGGTTTTCATCTCGTTGAAAATAAAAGTGCTTTTGGACCCATGTTGTGACGGTTGCTTAGGACAGAGATTTTCGAACTGGTTTCGAAGTGTCTTTAAATAAATGTGAGGACTGTCGTCGGTGTTTCTTTGCGACGAAAACAATACATCTGGCAAACATATTGTCGATGAAATCTTTCTACCATGCCATTTGCTTGAGGGTGATAGGCGGTTGTTCTTAAATGGAGAGTTCCAGTTAATTTGCAGAGTGATTTAAAGAGATGTAATTCGAATTGTCGACCTTGATCCATACTGTATCTGCTTCTTGATTGGGCATTGGAAAAGCTTCCGGCCAACGCGTGAAACGGTCGACACATGTTAAACAGTATCTGTTTCCTTTAGAAATCGGCATCACTATAATGTCTCTGTGAACATGTTCGAATCGGCTGGAAGGTGGTAGGAAACTTCCAGTCGATGAAACAATGTGCGCGATATTTTTGATTTTTGGCATTGTAGACACGCTCTAGTCCATTTTCTCACATCTGATTTGATTGAAGGCCAAACATATCGCTGTGTGATCATCTTCACAGAACTGTTGATTCCAGGATGTGCTAGATTATGCATGGTGCTAAAAATAGCCATTCGGAGTGCTTTCGGTACAAATGGTCTGGCTGTAGATGTTGCTACGTCACAGTACAAACTAACGTTTTGTTCAGGAAACCGTATTTTCTTTAATTGCAACGATGTTTTCTCTCTTAAGTACGTTTTTAGTTCTGGATCTGTTTCTTGTGCGAGAGCTAAGTCCGTGATGTCGATATCTTTCTTGATACTATCGACTCGAGATGGTGTCTGCTACAATATTTGTTAATCCAGAGATGTGCTGAATGTTGGTGCAAAACTGTCCTATAAAATCTAAATATCGAACTTGTCTAGGACTGCATTTGTCTAGCTTCTGTGTAAAGGCAAAGGTGATTGATTTGTGATCAGTGTATATGGTTATCTTCGGTCATATGTCTAAAATGTTTTATAGCTAAATATATAGCCAATAATTCTCTATCGTACGCACTATATTTCTTTTCACTAGGTGAGAATTTTTTGGAAAAGAAAGCTAAAGGTTTCATACTTGTATCCGTTTTTTGTTGTAATACAGCTCCAGCACAAAAATCGAAAAAATCACAAGTGATGGAGATATCAACATCGTTTACAGGGTGGCTCAGTAAAGTAGCGTTAGCTAAACTACTTTTGCGGTCCTCAAAAGCTTGGATCTGCTGTGGTGTCCATTCAATTGGTGCTTTTCCTTTGACATTTCCTTTTAGGGCATCATGTAGTGGTGCTTGAAGCTCAGCTGCATTGTGTATGAACCTTCGGTAGAAATTCAACATACCTAGAAATCTACGCAGGTCTGGCACTGTTTTAGGATGAGTGAAATTTTGTACAGCCGCTACTTTTTCTTTGGGAGGTTTGAGTCCTGCTGCTGATACTGTATATCCCAAAAATGTAGTCCCTTTTTGCCGAATTGACACTTTGTTGGATTAATCACAACGCCAAATTGCTTAAGCCTTTTGAAAATTTCTTCTAAATGCGATATATACTGCTCTTCGGATTCTGATGCAATGAGAATGTCGTCGATGTAGGCGTAGACGAAATCAAGACCACGTAAAATTTTATCTATGAAACGTTGGAAGGTCTGTCCTGCGTTTCTTAAACCAAAAGGTATAGTGTGGTAACGGAAGTTTTTGGTATATCTTCGGTGGCTACTGGTAACTGGTTGTATGCTCTAACTAAATCTATTGTAGAGAAAATCATCTTACCAGCTAGCGACTGACCAAAGTCTTTGATGTGTTTAATTGGGTATAGATCTGGAATAGTCCTTTGGTTTAGACGTCGATAACCTCCACAGGGTCTCCATTCCTCACCTTGCTTCGGGACCATATGTGGTAGTGTAGACTAGTTACTTTTTGATGGTTTTATGATGCCTAGTCGCAGGAGATTTTCGAATTCTTTTTTAGGCCATTGCAATTCAGGTGCTAATCGTCGAGGCTTCGAAAAAACGGGTGGACCTTGGTGTTGTATCGATGGTTTGATGTTGAATGTCTTTCAAAATACCGGCGGGTCGCGTGATTTCCCGAAACTGAGCTAACAGCATATGGTAACGCGACACTTCCGCGATTGTCTTTATGCTGCTATCGAAACAATATTTAATTTGTGAATACAAAAGTTTAGTTATTCGTAATTAGCTTGTCGCTGCAGAGCGTTGCATTCTAGATATAACAAAGAGGGATTGAAAAAGAATGGATCAGACAGAAAACCAAGGTCACTAATGTAATCGACAGAATTATATCTTTAAAGTGGCATTGGGCGGGACATTCAGCTAAAAGAACTGTCAATAGATGGTCCACTAGAATTACACTGAATATATATATTTAATTAATTAGTACTTACAATATAATTTTAACACATTATGTCTTTAGGTGGTACTCCATATGGTTTCGTTGCAAACAATAATGAAATTCCTGATAAGATAGTGAAAGGACTAAGACTTCCTCAGCTTCAATATATTAATGATGAGATGTACCAAATAATGTTGGATTGTTGGCAGCTGGACTTTACTGAAAGACCTTCCTTTGTTGAGCTAGGTGAATCTTTAGAGAGCTTGAAGAAAAACGACTTGATTCCATATATTACGTTTAGTACATTCCCTAATTTTCAGTATGAGCAGTTTTATCCTGATATGGAACTTGCTGTAAGACCAGTGTTTTAATTAGTATCGTACGCAGATTGTTCCACATATTAACTGTTTAAACGTACTGACTCTCTATTTTCTATTTCTTTTTTAATTTGTGGAACACTCTGTAATATTTGTAGAGTAAAAATTATACGTATCAATAATATTTTTACATATATTTATGACATGACACGACGGTTTCATTTATCAGGAGTTGATAACTGAAATAACCTTTTTTAAGTTTTGTATTACATATTTTATTTGTATATTCCACATTTAATCCATTTTCCAATTAGGATTTTATCATAATGGTTTTAAAATGTTGTTTCCTACAAAATCAGTTGTTTGCCATCTATTAGTTGTTCTGCATTGTCGGATTACTAGATAAGGATTAAAAAGTATGTCATTATAAAGTAATTCATTTTAATGACAAAGTTAATAACATGTATGGCCATAGTTGACATTAAGGTATATCACGTTTGGGATGTGGAGGTTCAATTTTTTGCTATTGAGTGCATTCATTTGGTAACTTGGTACATGTCTTTGTTTTTACTGTTTGTGGCTAATTCGATATTCAATAAAGGGAGGCACTTTTTAGTACCTCTTTTCCGAATGTTAGATATGTTCAGAAAATCGAAGAATTTGAGTCACAGTTCTTCGAGAGTTTTTTTTATATCCTCCGATTTTCATTTTTTTATATGTGGTAATATATCAATATATAGATGTCCATGTAGGTTATTTATTTATTTATCGTATGGCAATTACAACACATTTAGAACAAAATTACAAACACTAGTAATATAGGTATATGACAAACTTTAAATAGTTAGAAACAAACATGAAGTGTATTAATATAATCAATTGACTCTGAAGTTGTAAATAGGAAGTCTTCAGGGCTACCATTGTAGGATCTTGAGAGAGACTCTTCAATGGTCTAGTAATTTGGACCACTTATGTGGTAGCATGTATGCACATCTGCCATGTCTGGTTCGGATCCTATTTAGACTGTCTGCTTGATTTTTGCAAGTTTAGACTTTCTACTGTTTCGGTCCACTTTTGGCTTCTAGCGGCGTCTAGTCTGTACAATAGTTCATCCGCTATTTCTTGGTCGCCAGTTTCAAGAAAACTCTGATATAATTCATCGCTATTTTCCGGCCAGCCAGGGATATATTCTTTGCGATAGCCTCTTAGTATATGTTTTTTGGCTACACTTAGCACGGCACCAACAAATCTGTGGTAGTTTTTGATATTAGGTGTAATCCACCCTAGACATTTATCCAGATCCGTAGAGAAGTCAATCCAGTTGGCCTTTTTAAAATTCCATCTTCGACGTGGGATATAACTAATTAAAGGGATTTGTGTCCCTACTTCTATTATTACTGGTCGATGTTGGCTGTGTGGGAAATTAGTTAGTACTCTTCCTGAAGCCCCTAGAGGTAAGTCTTTGTTGTCGGTCGAAACGAAGCATAGGTCGGGGTTGTATTCCCGCCTCCATGCCGCGGATCTGAAGGTTGGTCGATCTTTGGTATCAAACAAAAGGTACAGGCGTTCGTCTTCTGTCAATTTTAATAAAGCATTCCCATTCGCATTACTATTTTTGTACTTCCACTGTTCATGATGGCAATTGTAATCCCCAACGTATACAGCAGGGTGAGGATGTACTTCAATTGCTTGGACTGGTCAAGACGTAGCAGGTGGCTTGTAAATGTTGGACACGGTACTGCTAGCGATTTTTGTGACCACATTATAAATACAGTCATCAGTGGAAGTAGAGATTAGCGAAGCATTTTCAATATCTTCTTTGACATATGTGACTGTGCCGTATGTTCGGTGGTAAGTTGCGCCTAATAGTTCATAGCCCGGTATTTTACCCGTTTTTTGTAGTTTCTTCTCTGTTTCGAAGTGGGTTTCCTGTATAGCAAACTGAGTCAATGTTGTCATCTTTTAATAATTTTGATAAAAACTGGCTTTTAACATTTATGTGCCTTCTGCCTTCTATGTTTATATGGCAAATTCGAACTATGGGTGTGATTGGTCTGGTTGTGCGGTCCTCACAAGGGCCGTTTATTTTGTTTATCATCTTTCATTGGAAGTGTTGTTTGGAGTCAGGAGATCCTAAGGATTATCTGACTGCCAGTATGTGCTAGTTCATTTAGCGTTACCCAGGGTGCACGTATAGTATTCTACTACGGACGCGAACTAGCTCTACACCCCACCCATGTAGGTATCAGAGTATTAGGCAAATTCTAAGGAGTCGACTGTTATTTGACGACATAGAAATCTTGTGATGACTTGCAACGGATTTTGTAGGAAAAAGATTACTTTTTATTACTCAGTTCCCTTATTGTATTAATTGCGTATTTTATAAAACCAATTTGCGTTTGCAATTACAAAAATTGCCATTTTTTATAAGTAAAGTATAACTGTAAAATGGAATCAGTGAACAAAACTTTTCCGTCAGCCATTCTTGTACCTTAGACTTGTTTTAATGTTGATATTTCGAATGTATAAGAATATTTCGAATGTAATGATCTGACAATACCGAATCAAGGATATTGCATCGCAGTTTCCTAATCTTTTCCAATAATGTGCTATCCTATTCTTTGTCTAAGTTGAAGAGAAATATTGCTTAAGCGACGAAGTAATAAGCTCCAAAAATCACTGCTTTTCATTATGCGTTGCTAGAGTCAAGGAGGACCCACTGCCCATAGGTGGATGAACCATCTGAGTTGAAATATAAATTATAAGATTAATAAGAAGGTGCCCAACAAATTGGAGACCCTACAATATCTTAGGTGTAACTTTTTTTATTTAAATGCACATTTAGAATTAATTAATGCAATTAAAAATAATTTAACCCACCTTTTTTATACTCTACAAATAATTATGAAGATGAAATCTGCATACATATATTTCATCTCCATACAAATTATTTTCGAAAATAGACCAAAATTTTATTTGTAAATATTTTTCGTGGATTTGTTAAAAATCTGAACTGATTATTGTACAAAATTTTAATTTAAACTCAACAAAGTTTATTCCAGTGACCTATTATAGTCATTTTTATGACCCAATAGAGATTTTGACCATTCTGGAAGTACTAAAAACGGGCTTTTTTCTTTCTTAATTTGTATTATCATTCTTATGTATTGCACAAAGTAGTTCCTTTTGTATTAGTAAAATAAAATATTCATTGAAGTAAAAATGACTCATGTCTGTGGTATATACAGTATGCAATCTTTCAGCTAGACATAGGCAATATACATTGAGGAAAATGTAGCAATTGCGCTATTTAACTCTTAGTAACAAATAAGATAAGACTATTGGTTGTGCACCAAGGGAGTTAATTCTGCTACGCAAATCTATGTAAATAATTTTAAAATTATTACAACGCAGTTAAAAATCTTTGAAAAATGTTATTGTGGGCTATAACCATCGAAAAACAAGAAAGTATTATTCTAAAACTAGTTAAACAAAAATAATTAATTGATTAAAAAAATGAAAAACAAACAATACAGTCTACTGTACAAAATAACAAGTAAACTAAATAAAAGGTTTAAATATATCACCTGCTTTTGCAAGACAATAACCTAGTCTATGATAAAATGCCTGCCTTACGTTTGCATGTTATTGTGGCGGAATTGTAGCACACGCATTTCTTTTTTCTATACACGTATACTAGATACGATTCGTTCTGCTTGACTGGGGTATTTTAGTTCTGAACCTTGACATTTAATTGAGGGTTTTTTGGCGGTTAAAACACCACGCCTGGTAAAACGGGTTTCTTGAGTTTCGATTCAGCCGCCCACTCTAGGTCAGATTCTGATTGCAGCCGATCACTCTGGATCAGACGCTGCAGTGTTTACTGGTTGTGGTCCGCCCCGAGTATTTCATTTCCCCTTCTTCTTCATGTACCATGTCCTTTCAGAACGTTGGTTACCATCATAGCTATTTTAATTTTATTCACTGCCACCCTAAATAGCATGCTTGTATCTACACCATACCAATCTCGCAAGTTCTTCAACCATGAGGTTCTTCTTCGTCCTGGACTGCGTTTGCCTGCTATTTTTCCTTGCATGATATTTTGTAGCAATCTATATTTGGGACCTCTCATTACATGTCCGAAATATTCCAGCTTTCTCTGCTTGATGCTTTTTATGATCTCAGTGGTCTTGCTGAGACGTTCAACGAATCTTCTCCACCCAGGAAACTTTTAAAATTCTTCTATAGCACCACATTTCGAAAGCCTCAAGGCGATTTAGATCGATTTTATTCACAGTCCAGGACTCGACAGCATAAAGTAAGACCGAGAACACGTAGCAGCGAAGTAGGCGGATCCTTAATGCCAATTTTAGGTCTCTGTTACATAACACCTTGGACATCCTTCTAAAAGCAGCTCTAGCCTGCTCTATTCTGGATCTAATTTCGCCGTGATTTTCTGCATTACAATTTAATTGCTGTCCAAGGTAGACGATTTTATCAACTTGCTCAAGTTTGGTATTATTTACATATATAGACGGTTTTATATTCTGTTGTTTACTTATTACAAGTATTTTGGTTTTCCTTATGTTATGATCCAGACCTGCCTCCCTACAACTCTCAACGACATTATCAAGTAGTGTTTGCAGATCTTCTTGACGAGAAGCTAGGAGTACTGTATCGTCCGCATATCGCAAATTATTGATGACTTCGCCGTTCACAAGTATTCCTTCTTGTTTTTCAGAAAGTGCTTTTCTGAAAATTCTTTCGGAGTAAACGTTAAAAAGCAGGGGTGACAAGAGGCATCCCTGCCGTACTCCTCTTTTAATATTGAGAGCTTGTGATTCCACACCATCTACTAAAACTGATGTTGTTTGATTCCAATATAAATTTGCAATTATTCGAACATCTCTGCCGTCCAAGCCAATGTCTTTTAGAGCTTCGATCAATATAGAGTGCTTAACACGATCAAATGCCTTTTGAAAGTCAATAAAAACAACAGTATATGTCTACAGATATATCACGACATCTTTGAGCAAGTACGTTCATTCCAAACAGTGCCTCTCTCGTTCCAAATCCGTTACGGAAACCAAACTGAGTGTCATCCAGGTATTCCTCACATTTATTGTAGATACGACCATGTATTACCCCGGTAATACATATCATTTCATTTCACAGACATATCATTTCCCCGGTACCACCTAT